ATGTTACAAGTGTAATCTAGGGTTATGTCTGTATCCACATGTTACAAGTGTATTCTAGGGTTTGGTCTGTATCCACATGTTACAAGTGTATTCTAGGGTTATGTCTGTATCCACATGTTACAAGTGTATTCTAGGGTTTTGTCTGTATCCACATGTTACAAGTGTATTCTAGGGTTTTGACTGTATCCACATGTTACAAGTGTAATCTAGGGTTATGTCTGTATCCACATGTTACAAGTGTAATCTAGGGTTTGGTTTGTATCCACATGTTTCAAGAGTATTCTAGGGGTTGGGTCTGTATCCACATGTTACAAGTGTATTCTAGGGTTATGTCTGTATCCACATGTTACAAGTGTATTCTAGGGGTTTGATCTGTATCCACATGTTACAAGTGTAATCTTGGGTTTGATCTGTATCCACATGTTACAAGTGTAATCTAAGGCTTGGGTCTGTATCCACATGTTACAAGTGTAATCTATGGCTTGGGTCTGTATCTACATGTTACAAGTTTAATCTAGGGTTTGGTCTGTATCCACATGTTACAAGTGTAATCTAGGGTTTGGTCGGTATCCACATGTTACAAGTGTAATGTGACAACAGTCCTTTGGGTTGGGTCTGTATCCACGTGCTATATGTATAATATGACATCAGTTGCTTGGCCTGCCACTGTCAGCATTCTTAGCTGGTCTATGGTAGGTACTTTCAGAGCTTTTTACTGACTCATAATAAAAGTACAAAGATAATCACTGAGGCATTGCTTTCAACGAGAACAATGTATTCATACTTTATCACGATTCTACAGTCTGTATGTAAGCCATGATATATTCTATCATGGGTGTAAAAAGTTCAACATTGTATCTGATATCTAAGAAGGTCTGAGTCTTCTTCGTAATGTTGTTACTTTAGGTGTTGTGTCTTTATTATAAAGCCAGTTTTCCCTTTTGTTTCCTGATTAGATTCATCCTTCAGATCAGTCAATCTCAGTACACAGTCCCAATACACTCTATTACTCCTGTGGTACTATACTGATATACGCAGTGCCAAAATATAAGTGTAACACTGGGTACAATATCACATCCTCTAAATAATAAAACAGAAAATATATTTTACGAAGTGGTCTTACATTTACCGTGTGTTTTGTTGTGATTCTATAAATATCTATGATGTTCCACCTGTGGGTAGACAGACTGTTGACCGGTTCAAGGTGAATCATTATCATAATTAGGGGGTTAAACATCAAACTACCGTGTTGAACGACGAATGTATATGATTATTACAATTAGGGGTGTTATATATAAGGCACTACCCGACAACTCTGTATCTCATTACGCCCCAGAACTCTACCAGAGCAGACACATATACAGGTGTAGAACTTAATACATTGTAAAGCTTATTACTGAGGTTATAAGACTGATACGCTCTGATAAGACTGAAGGTGACTGGAAGTAGGAGACAGCTCGATGAGGTGAAGTTAGGGTATTGCTGGCTGTGGGACACATTGTATGGAGAAAAAGCTGACTGGAGTTACCTATATTGATCTGTTACCACACTGGTACATGTAACACAGGAACTATCAGACAGGAAGCCGAAGACAGTTTCCCTGGAATCAAACAGAAGGCTGTAGGGATTCCACAGGACCACTAGAACTCGAGCATATTAGCCAGACGTAGTTACGACTTTGGACAAGGAGCAGCCATGTACCGGGCTGTCATTTTTATAGTGGCAGTAGTCAGTTTGGTTAGTGGTGAAAACAGACCAACTCCTAGTCCACCTCCTGGTGTCAGTGTCACAAGACCATCTCCCGGTCAGTATTAGAAATGGTTATAAGGTGCTATTTGTAGGGTATTTGTTTATTTGTTATTGTAATCAGTCTACATTTGAACCTAAACGTACCTACTTCATAAAAATGTTGCTAACAGAACTGAAAAAATATCGTGTTTATTTTGAATTATTGCTGTGTAAATAACGCTTATATTACCTACAGAAATGTCTTTTGTATCTTGTCATGTAGACTCTCTGACATTCAGCTTACAGAAATTTCATTTATTGACTTTGTAATGACAGATTTGTAGACAGTATACTTGAAGAAGTGATTTAATTACAATTACACTACAACACATACTTACAGAAAAGTCACTGACGGTGAACTTATAGCAACGTCATCATGACAAAGTCACTGACGGTGAACTTATAGCAAAGTCATCATGACAAAGTCACTGACGGTGAACTTATAGCAAGGTCATCATGACAAAGTCACTGACAGTGAACTTATAGCAACGTCATCATGACAAAGTCACTGACGGTGAACTTATAGCAACGTCATCATGACAAAGTCACTGACGGTGAACTTATAGCAACGTCATCATGACAAAGTCACTGACGGTGAACTTATAGCAGCGTCGTCACAGACAGTATACTTTTGTTTAAGTTATTGTATACTTGCTAACTCTCCCTATTTTGGAGGGTCAGGTTCCAGTTTTTGGACCCTGAAATGTAATATTTTCAACCAATGAATTTTCTGATTTTTACCTGTATTTTGATATCTAATGATTCCATCTGAAAGAAAAACTCAAAAGATTTCATTTTAAGAGATTATTTTTCCCAAGGAAGTATATCCACTATTCATGTTTTTAATTTTGAGTGCACTGAATCTCTCCACAGAAATTTCGAAAGATTGGCAAGTGTTGATAATTTGCCCTCTAGCAACAGAAAGGGTCACAAGTTGTTCAACTTAAAACTGTTTCCTTAACAACTACCAGCACAGATATAGAGGTTCCCCAACGAGTGATGATTGGTTATCATGTTTATCTAACTCGAGTTAGATAATTATCAAACTGTATAAGGACACGAGGTTTACAGAGTATTTTTTACGATTTAAAAATAAACTTACGAGTGTTAGATAAACATTATAACCAATCATCACAAGTTTGGGATCCTTTTTCTCCCATAACGTTTATATTTTATATGGAAAGCCATGCTCCCTTTAAAAAATACACTATGTCGGCTACCGATGGGAGGAAATGATTGCCGTGAATCATGACGTCACAATGGAAGATGACGTTGCAGAGCATCGTTACGTGATGTCATAAGTAAAAAATTGACCAATGAAATCACTTCCAGGGTGTTACCCGTTAGTGGGTAACCAAAAATGTCTACCAACTCCAAGCAGGTTTATCCAATGTGTCGGGAGTGAGGAAACATATAGGGGTTGTGGGAGAAACAAATAATGTGGTAAAATTGTTGACTAACACACTGTAGTAGCACCACTTCTAATGTTTTAAGTGCTTACTACATTAATATATCGTTTATCTTGGATGGAATCTGATGCCAAAGAGGAAAAAAGTAAGGAAAAAGAAAAGGGGCATGTGATATACAGACTTAGATTTGTTTTGAATTTTCAGTTTCATGAATGTATTGGTTGGTTGCTGTTCATTATCCTGTTCATGATCGGGTTGACTTGGATCCCTAATGATAACTACTCGGTAGATGTAACTGTAAGCTGGGGTCGCTAACTAGAAATACTTGTAAGTCGGAATGGAATGGAATTTGTTAAGTGTGATTTCTCATTCAGCTGCAAAAAATAAAAATATAGTGAAAGATGTTTTCACAAGTATAGTGCTACAATCACAGCAGTAATCATCAACTAGGAATGGTTGATAACAGTCACTAATGTAGTCATAATTCATGTAAACAAAGGACATTCATTGAAAGCCCTTCGTTCCAGAATGCTCCTTGCCAAATACCATGGATCTAGACTTCTTCCTTATTTACCAAAGGTTGTTTGAATATTTTGACATGCTTTGTCCTTGTGACCTTGAAATATGATCAACGTTGACGTTGATCATACTTTTAAATGAAATATGATAGCCAATCACCTGGGCATGTATATCGATCAAATAGTAAGACTCTAGACTTAAGTAGAACTTGAGTTGAAGTTTTTCATATCGGCCATATTGTATTTTTTACCTTCTTATAAAATGTTGCAATAACACCTTTACATCATGACCTACAATATACCTGAAAGACTGTGAACATATTTGCTACAGATCAAAAGATTAAGACTCCATAAAGTCATGGTAGAAGAATAATAAGAAGCATAGCAAAAACAATAAGTCTTTTCACCTGATGGTGAAAACCCCTAATAAGATAGCCATCTATTACCTGGTCTTGCTATCTATTACCTGGTTGTGCTATCTATTACCTTGTCTTCAGTGTAAAATGTTTAATTGAACCTATCAAATTATCTACTTCCGCTAGCATCCCTAATTAGTACTGATGAATACACGCTGCCTAATGTTAGTATCTAGTCTACTTAAAGTTCCTTAACTCTTAAAAGTCTCCTAAGGGAAGCATACCTATAAAAATGTTCATAGAAAGTCTATGTTATTGAGAATTTCCAGGCTCCTGCCCTTCATCAGTCATACATGTAAAGGGGAAAAACAGTACAGCTTCCATGTGATGTCCATTTGGTATCCACATGGATTAACTCCGACTACCAAACACATTAATTAAAACCACCACCAAAAAAACGGTAAATATAACTTGGAAATTGTATTTCCCAGCATGACCCGTCCTCGATATCCAGGAGTTATGATGCAGAGAGTGTAAGTGATCGTAACCCCTGGATATCAAGGGTGGGCATGACTACCACTTTGATAAATCATATTTGAAAAGAAAACCATACCTTGCAGGACTTTTTGAAGAAATTACAAATATTTGATAAACAAATTAATATAACCAACAACAGTGCTCTGAGTGTAAACATTCAACAGGACTAGACCTTGATTCCAACCCTGGACTTCAGATTGTTATACTATATCACTCTAACAGACTGAGCTACCTGGTCTGGCCAAACTGTGTGACAGTTATAGCCAAGCGGCAGTTAAAGGGAGGTTACTGTATGTAGGAAAATCCACAGTGCAGTGGGACAGGAAACCTTCAACACTATCACATGATCCTGAGGCTGTAGAGCATGTTTTATGGGATGTTTACTGTTACAGGTAGTTGTCCGGGAAGGGTTTTACCTGAAATGGAAGGAGATGTGCCCAAAAGGTGTGAGGAAACTTCTACCACCAACGATTGCAGTTCTGATTCTGTTTGCATGAACAACATCTGTTGTCCTACACCGACAGGTAAATATCATGTTCACAGTCTGTTCATTTACAACAAATATATTCACATAGAGTACACGCTGGAAGAAGCCCCATATCCCCTATTACTCAATTTTAGCTCATTTGACCCAAAGGGCCAAGTGAGCTTATGCCTTGGTGGGGTATATGTTATCTGTCTGACACGTGTTGTTAACTTTGATACTTTTAATGACTTAATAACTAGTAGGCCTAAGGTGATCAATCACCTTGACAGAACATCCTTTTTAAAGTCACTTGGTCAAATGTCTTAAAACCTTCAAACCATTTATTCTGGACAATCAAGAGATCTAAGGTGGTGATTTTTTTCTAGTAGTATGGCAGGATAAAAGGCTAACTATTTGTTTAAATTAATCTCTTTTACAGATTCCAAAAATCCCAAGGGTCAAATATGTTAAACCTTTAAATGAATTCTGTCTGATAACCAACTGGCCTAGGGAAATGATATTTGGCCAGAAGCATGCTGGGATAGAGGGCTATCATTTTTGTTCATTCAATGTCAAAGGGGTCAAATGATAGTTCAAACTTTTATAAAAAAGACTCCTTCTGAACATTTGACCTTAGCATGATGGGATTAAGGACTATAAAGTTTGTTCAAATGGACAGCCAGGACCCACTTTCAAGGTCACATGGGCCAAATCTGTAAAAAAATCCTTCAACAACTTCTTTAAAACCAAGAGGCCTACATTAGCAATATTTGGCTTGTAGCATGATTCAATGGAAGACTTTTGAGTTTGTTCAGATAAACAATCTTAATCCACTTTCAATGTCATTGGTGTAACTTGTGTTAAAAACTTCAAACAGCTTTTTCTGTTTAATCAAAAGGCCTAGAATCTTGATATATGGCCTGTAGTATTCTTAGATGAAGGAATGTCAAGTTATTTCAAAAGGATGACCTTGACCAACTTTCAAGATACATGGGGGGAGGGGGGACTTCATTAAAATCTTTAAACAATTGTACTATTCAATTACTAATTTTAGTCAGCAGTTGTGCATGTTTCATTTTCAATCTGGTCTGGTGACCATCTTGGATTTTGACAATTAATATTTGTTATCACTTTTTCTCAAGAAGTACTAGACTTTTTTGGGGGTATTTTATTTAAAGATTGAAGTCACTTAATATTTGAATAACATCATGAAAATTGGTTTATCAGTGACAAAAACACTGTGGATATATTAAATAATGCTAAATCATAGACCTACATATGTATTGGCAGTTCCACCTGGTCAGTGTCCCACTTTGCCTACTGGTGCAATTGGAACATGTGTTGAGGCTTGCTCAGATGACACTGGCTGTTCAGGAATCCAGAAGTGTTGCTCTAATGGCTGTGGACACACCTGTCAGACCCCAGGTATTTCCTCTTTTCTGTGATACAGATGTACATATATAGAATATGCGTACTGGTAAATAGTGCCCCATGTCATTGATAAGGATGCCTTTTGGTAGTTATGATGTCTGTTCCTCTAGATCTGTCAGTCTGTCCATCTAAAATTATATTCCTGAAATTATCTCAGAATCCTGACTTTCAATTTTCCTTTAATTTGCATGTGATACATGTACAGACATATGCAGATGTGCTTCAACGTGTCTAAGGTCTAGCTAGCTGGTACACTGTTATCAGTGTATGTAAGTCTGACTGTGTTATATAGATGTGCATTAGGTGTCGAAAAAGTTGCTAAGGTTATAAGGCCAAGTTCATTGTTGCTAAAATTAAAGTGGGTTGAGTATTGTTGTTTTTTTTGACTCGAAATTGAAGATGACAACTATCAGTTGCTTTGGATTAGCCAAGACGTATAAGGCTTTACATTTTGTTTTTTGAAAGGGTTTTGTTCAGACTTTGTGGAAAATTGTACTTATAAGATATTCTTTATGGTGAGTAAGAATACTTTATCCCGTTCCATCTATTACAAGATGGCCACTGTCCCTTCTGATTGGCTGAGACTTATCAGGAAATCAGTTCTGTTCTATACTGGTCTGATTTTGTCTGTATTTGTTGGATAACATTTGTGTGACCCTTTATTACCAATATTTCAAAAATTGCTTAAATGGGCATGTTGCTTTGCAATTACATTTGAATATATATGGTCAGACACAGAGGGGGATTGGGCAAGTATAAATTCTAACTTCTATTTTTTACAGATTTTTTCATATAAAATTGTTAAAGTTTGATGAACAATTACTATACAAATGTGTTTTATACTGCGTTCACAAGGTAACACACTTGTTACATACATATCTCATTGCTGAATGATATGTGTACATGCTGCACAAATTGAATTGCCATTTTTAGCTCACCTGCCTGCCTGAAGGGCTAGTTAGCTTATGCCATGGTGCATAGAATTATAATATTTGGCTGGTAACTGTCACAGATAGAGCCTGACAAAGTTGACTATTGAAAATTACCTCAACCTTCTTTCAAGGTCACAGGGGTCAAATATAGCAAAAACTGCAAACAGAAGTGAAAGGCATGGAGTCGTGATATTTAACAAGTAGCTACCTTAGATGGAGCCCAACAAAGTTTGCGAATGAAAATGACCTTTACCTACTTTATCCTATTGCTTTATCTTAATCTAATTTGATATAGAGTATCCTTGGCCCAACATGATTCAATATTGTAGAAACCATGCCCTCATCCCAATTGGGACAGGAGAATGGTACCCAATAAAGCAAGGGTGTTACTGAGAGACAGAGCCATTAATGTTTGGAAATATTTGTAGTACAGTATAATATTTATTTAATATTTTGCTTTGACTGCTTTAGTCAATAGTCTTGTTGCTGTTTTTCCAGTTTTTCCAGTAAAGCCAGGTGTGTGTCCCACTGTGTCTCCTACTACAGCTGGGACGTGTGTTGAGGCTTGCTCAAATGACACTGCCTGTCCAAGAAACACAAAGTGTTGTTCTAACGGCTGTGGACACACCTGTCAGAATCCAGGTAATCCCTTCTCTACCACTCCAACACGTCGCTGTTACATGGGTTTCTTTCAGAAACTAAAACCAGAATAGTCTTGATTTTTACCATAATGATGTTTCATGACTCTCAATTAAAAAAAGAAAAACATTTGTGAAAATTAGTACAACAATGTTAAAACCATTGCCATCTTATAATGTAAAACCTTTCTCATCTTCTCGTACGGTAATAGCATTGTATCCTTTTGGTAAGGTTATTTACATTAGCACCTTCCTTATCAGATTATTGAGATCACTTTTATTCTGTTACTATTTTTCATCTCAAATTTATTGCCATTATTATGGGATATTCTTTTTTTTCTTCTGAAATTTCTAGAAGGATTTTGCATCGATATTTATCTGACAATTGATAAATTTCTAACATTTTTCTTTCTGCTCCCAAGAACAAGTGCAAAAATTAAGCATTCACAAAAAGTGATGCACCATATAATATTGACAACTTTTGCCTGTTTTAATACAGTCTACAGATCAGAATCATAGGTTATTTATTGTCCTGTGTTTGATGTGTGGGATCTCCTGAATGTTTTTACCTAGAGTACAAGCACAGTCCATGTGGTAAAGACCGTCCCCTTCAGGCTAAGAACGGCACTACTCTGTATTGTGGTAAGGGGGGACAAACCTGTCCCAGCGAATCTGACTGTAAAATAGGAGCCGCTGACGAGTATGCAGTCTGTTGTCCTTGTAAGTAGTTGTTAACACAGCTGTACTTTGTAGTGTTATCATCTTAAATTGACATCAGTGATACACAAAAGCAGGATAAACTCCTGCCAAATACCCATTTAGCAGTCATTTCCTGTTAAAAAGTAATTTTCTGTTAAAAACTCAGATAAATACAGTGAAATAATAAGCTTAATGGCAACTTTCTCTTATCCTCTATCTGGTATGACTTAATTGCTTCCCAAACCTTTTAAAAGTTACAGAAATGGTATAGAATATTGTGTGTATGTGTAAACTGGGTAATCAATCAACCAACTCATCATATCGTGATTACTTAGCAACTTCGTAACAAATTGTAATTTATCCTACCAGCTGTATATTATGAAGAGAAGCAGAAGTGTGCCAACTACCACGGTGGGTACCCCATGCATATGCGTAATGGCACTCGATATGACTGCAGCAACGGGAAGGACTGCCCCTACCATGGCCGATGTATGACCGATGAGAATGGGACCTATGCTGTCTGTTGTGGATGTAGGTTTTAGTAGTTAAATAATCTCTCAGATATTTAGTTCACTTGGAAAAAAAATGAAAAAAAAATGAATTTATGAAATTACTCCAAATGCTATCATGAAACAAAAGTTCCTTGTATTCCTGGGTCTAGGACAAGGAGTTGATACCAAGCTGGTAAATGAATCCTCTCATTGCCCAGATCAAGTGTGGTTTAGAATTTGAGCTGATCAAAACTCTAAAATGGGCACCCTGAACTCTGCTTCACTGTCCATCAACTTGTTTCCGTAATACCTTTAACAGATTTGATCTAATTCGGTACAAGTCTATTTCTAATTGGACTTACCTGATGAATTCATATTTTCTTTTGCAATCCAAATTCATTATGGCCACCACTAAAAGACTACAAGCATTTAAGATCCCCTTCTTCTGTACATCAGTAGGGGATTTAACCAAACTTGATGTGGAGCATCCTTGGACCATATATACAACATGGAGCGGACGATCTGAAAGATTTATGTTTTTATTCTCTATTTTCCTTCGCAAGGACTCATTTATTTATTATCTACTATATATATATATATGGGTTGTGCAGCCCCCTCCTTGGGGGCAGAAGGGTGGGGCCCAATATGGGAAAATATAAGTCTTGAAAATCTTACTTAAACATGTTACTTTGCATGTCACAAAGCAACCCTGTATTTTGTATATCATAACTTGAAGGCTGTCACTCTTTTTCAGATGTTGGTGATGGTGACAAACCATGTAACTATTTCCGAGGTGGAGAAGAAAGGAAATACCAGAATGGCACTTCCTTATTCTGTGGCCGTGGCAACCACAGAGTCACATGTCCTTCAGACACTGCGTGCACCGTCCATCCTGGAGATGGTTTCGCTGTGTGTTGCCCAAGTATGTTAACAGGATCTGACTATTCTCTACCCGCCTCATTTCTATTATTTACAGGCTTTGAAAAGTTATTTTTAAATTCTAGTCAGATTTTTATTATTATACCCCCTGCAACGAGGTTAGAGGGGGTATACTGGAATCAGCTTGTCCGTCCGTCTGTCCTTTCGTAGAAAAAGTCTGTCCGGACAACTCCTATAGCAATGGACCAACTTCAATGAAACTTTCCAGATATGATAACTACTACCTGAAGTTATTGCCCTTTGTTGAACAAAACCTGAAACTTTTTGTCCGTACAACTCCTCCTAAAGTTTTGATTTCAACGAAACTTTCCAGATATGATAACTACCACCTGATATTTGTCGAGACTCCTCCAAAACTATGGTGCCAATTTCAACGGCCGTTTTCAGATATGATAACTACCCCCAGATGTTGTCCATCCAGATATTTGTTTTCCAACCATATTTTATGGAATCAGGCCCTTTGTTGAAAAATCTTTGTCCTGAAAACTTCTCCTAATCTACTGGGCCAATTTCAAAGAAAGTTTACAGATATGGTAACTGACCCCTGACATTGTGCATCCATGTATTACTTTTTCATTCAAACCCTTTTAAAAGAAGTTATGTCCCTTTGTTGAAAAAGCCTTTGTCTGCCTCCTAAACTACTGGACTGATTTCAATGTTAGTTTACAGATATGGTAATTATCCCCTGATGTCATGCATCACGGTAGTATTTTTTTCATTTCTACCCTTTTTAAGGAGTTATGGCCCTTTGTTAAAAATCTTTGTCCTAACAACTCTTCCTTAACTACAAGGATGATTTCAGCAAAACTGATTCATCTGGGCTAACAAAATTTGGTTTGCATTTGGAGGGAGTACAGGAAGTTTGTCAGTGACCATTATACTTCAATAAGTGAACAGTTTAGTGAATAAAGAAATCATTACTGGTGGGACGCTATGGATTTTTTTTGTAATGCTTTGTCTTAGTAAGCCTTTACCTTACAGTTCTGGTTTATATAGGAGCAGGGGGTATTAGTTAGCCTTTGGCTTACAGTTCTAGATTTGTCCAAATTCCGACAAACACTGTTATAGGTTGCAAGCCTTTTGAGGATGTTTGAACATTTCAAAATTATTCTCAATTATGTTTCTAAAAAGTAAAATTATAAAAAATATCATGACCAGTAGCGTAGCGGTTGAGCTCTCTACTTTATAATCAAATTAAGAGACCTGTGCATCAAATCCCTGTGATGGAAATGGGGGTGTTTTTGTGTGAAAAAGCAAACTAAATGTAAAATAAATAAATTTCTTTCTTGTATGGAAAAAAATGTCCATGGTAAAAGTGCAAGTAACTCCAAGTCAGAAAAATGCAGGTCACATTGAAAACTCTTCTTTGTTCGAGATACAATACAGTGCTTGGACCCTCCAACTTAAGAATTAACCATTCTTATCAATTTTGTTAATGGCCCCAGATAGAGGTACATCTTCTTTATACCCCCACCAAATTTGTATTTGTTGTAACAGAACAATATGATAAGTGTATGGAACTCCCTTTTTTACTTTTTCTTCAGAGAATGCAACGAAGCCAGGCACATGTCCAGCATCAGCTGATGTGACCACAGAAACTAATGGAGACACATGTGCAGATGTCTGTACTGCGGACACCGACTGTGACGGAAATATGAAATGTTGTTCTCGAGGATGTGGCCACTCCTGTCAGAAACCAGGTATCTAATGATCAGCTATTCACGTTGACTATTATTCTCTTCAGTAATTAATGAGACTCCATTCCTAATTAGAGCTGTCACAATACACTGTACTTGTGGTTAAATATATAACAATATTAGTGCTACAGTTTGATTATTGTTGTATCCTGGTCACTTGGGTTATTTCAATCAAGTTTGGATTATTATGCCTCAATTTAAATGAATTTGACAAATATTTCTCTCCTTGCTTTTGCATATGCAAAGTGACCTAGCTGTCCTTAATGTTTCTTTTCACAGGTTTGTTTGGTTAACTTTTTCATTGATATATGGAACTGAAATTGTGTTCACTCTTTCAATTTTAAGTTTGCCAGAGTATTGGTTAAAAGACTGACTGTCATAACTGTTGTGTGAAAACTGTTTCCTTATCGCCGATTAGTTGTTATTGGCCAATCAAAGCAAGTGTTACACTGAACTTAGGCTGAAATGGTACACACTAATGGTCAAATCATGCCGTATGAGAAATAAAACGAAATATATCGTGAATCAAATCAGATACAAGTAATTGAGGTACAACTACATTGCAGTGAGTTGTGTCATCTCTATTGCTCTTTGACTTATGATAACTATATGTCTGTGAGCAGACAGCATTACTTTACCATCTCAGTATCTATATCCTATGATAAGACACTAACTCATTGTCTATAGCTATCCTTCATTGGTGACACCGTTACTCATTGTGTATACCTGTCCCTCAGTGATGATCAAAGGTGTCAACCTCTGAAACCTCCAATGAGGAAGAAAGTATGTGACACACAAATGAAAGTGCTGTGCTCAATTTATCTTTCCCTTTTTATATATCAAAATAACTCCAAAAAGCATTCATTTGATTCAGACACACTTGTTATGATCGTTACGCACACCCTCCAGTAACTAGGAGATCATTTGACAACAGGATGTAGATTTTGAGTTTGTGTGAGTTTGGACTTGAATGGGAGAGTTTCGAGGGAGATTGGTGAATATTTGGTCAAAATGAGGGAGGGAGGGTTGATAGCTATGGATGAAATATTATAATTCATTGTCCATAATTATCCCTAGGGCTGTAATGAGACACCACACTCATTCTCTGTACCTACCCGTATTCTTCATCGATAGGACACCATATTACACCGGTGTCTTTATCTATCCTTCTGTGATGACCGAACATAATTCAATACCTAAAATAACCATCTATAATGCGATGCCAAACTCCTTATCTATATTTCTATAATGAAACATCATAATCATTGTCTATAACTATCCTTCTAAAATGAGATGTCTTACTAATGAGACGCCTCACTCCGTGTTTAAACTCTCCGTCCTTAATGAGACACCATAACTCATTGGCTATTATTCTCCTTCAGTGATGAAAAGACCAAAGACAGTTTGTCAGATGAAACAGGCCAAGGATGTGATGGATCTCCAGACAGAGGGAGATGTTTGTGCAGGCGTATTCATCACAAGGTACAGTTTTACTATATATTTACTTCTTTTCATTTCAGTTTTATGTTTACAACTTGAAATCCTCATAGCATCAATGTTATTGGAGGTAATCCAAACTAGTTCTTTATTGATGTGTTGGGTCTATTGACAGATGTGATCGTAACGGTAATTACAGCCGTACCCAGTGCCAGGACAACACAGGTGTGTGCTGGTGTGTCTCCCGTAACGGTACAGAGATCTCTGGTACCAGGAGGATAGGACGACCCCAGTGTAATAAAGGTAGATAAACACTAGTGACCGTGTCAGTGATAGCTGTATTTAAGATTGCAACATGAGCATGCAATTAATTTAATCTCAAAGGGGAATGAGAGATGAGCTGGTGAGATACAGAATAGTATGACACGTGACTGTGTCAGGAGATGAAATTCATCAGTATTGCTTTTAAATTCTATGCAAGAATAACAAACACTTGTATTCAGTCTTTGGTGATGTTCATCTTACTTTCTTTCATAGAACATCCAATCTATGGCAGTATCACATTTTACTTCAGATCTCTGGGAATGGGAATTTCTGACACTTGTTACTTGTAAAACATCCAATTTATGGCAGTTTTGGTATCAATTGTTAATTCCGATCCCTCGGAATGTAATTTCTGACACTTGTTACTCGTTGAACATCCAATCTACGGCAGTTTTGGTATCAATTGTTACTTCCGATCCCTAGGAATGTAATTTCTGACACTTGTTACCTTTAGAACATCCAATCTACTGAAGTGTTAGTTTCACTTATTACTTATAGAACATCTAACCTATGGGAAGATTAGTATCACTTGTTACTAGAAAACTGTTCAATTTATGGTAATGCTAGTTTCACTTTATATTATGTTTCACTAAGTTACTAGACCATTTAAGGTACATGCTAATAAACACAACTTGAGTGTTGCCTGGTTTGTAGCTACCCGGCCTGGCCAGTGTCCTGTTATGGTCGAGCTAGGAGAGAATGATCCCACACCCATGTGTACAGGTCCCTGTGTCTCTGATGACAACTGTACAGCAGGGCGTCGCTGCTGTGAAAAAGCTGGATGTGGACCATCATGTCTGGCTGTTAGGAGTAAGTATGGTTACATAAATTTCTATCCTTACTGTCTACCTAGCGAAAGTCCATGATAAGGTTTTACACTCTTCTATATAAAGTCATGTTTCTGCTTTATTATCCAGAGAGTGAAATATATAGCTTTAAGATCTATATTTAAAAAATATGTTAAAAAACAGTAAGTATTCAAATTTAAACCAGCTAACCAGTATATAAAATACAGCCTTATCAATGAATGAAATATGAGCATATCCAAAGAGTTGCAAAGTGCACATTTTTAAAATTGAGGCTGACAAATGCATATTTAATAAGTGTGCTTTATTTTTATTTTATTTTTTTCTAAAATTATTGCCACCTTTAATCTGAGATGGGTTTTCAGCATTTAACAACTTGTCCACCATTTGTTGGCCACCATTTGCAATTACTTAAATGAACTAAAATTGTAATTATATTATACTGGTGATTCCATTTCAAAAAGTGTTGGCATTCGACATTCATGTTTTCCTGGTCAAAGGGTGCATGATTACAACTGAAGTTATTTAATTTCATTGAAAAGAATGGTAGAACAAAAATCAATGTATCGTGTATGATATTTACACAAAAATGAATGCTGGAGATAAGATTTGTGAGGTTCAGCACTCAGCAAAGCCTCATGCTGAAGTTCAAAATTTTGCCCTTATATCACGCAGGAGTCATTGGTTCAAGTAAGCTTTATGCATAAATCTAATGCATAGGAAAACAGGTCACTTGCAAAAATGTCATTCATCTTTGTGCTACTATTTATTTAATTTCTTTTGTAGCTAATCCGGTGCCTGAATGTAAGTGTTTAAATCAAATATTAAACATTTAAAAATGATTTGATTTTATTTTTTGAAATTCTATTGAACCTAGATAATACTAATAGTACAATATTGTAATGATTTTATAAAACTTAACTATAACTTAAGCAATACTTGGATATTGATTTAGACATACAGTGTTTTGATATTGTATTGTTACCTGTTCAAGCTTTCTTTGATTGTTTTAGTGTGCCCGTCCAGTGTGAAGCCTATGTGCTGTGACTTCCTGCAGTGTGTGGACCATGTGTGCCCCGCCCATCCAAAAGCCAAATGTCGAGTCAACCCCTGTGCAGGCTGTCGGGCAGAGTTTTATGACAAATACAGTAACAAAGTCAACTGTACAGAAGGTATCCAGCTTTTTGTGAACGTCTCACACAGATCATAAATATCACATCTCCAGCACACACGCAGGCATATACACACATAGGGAGATATTAGCCAGGTGGCATAGGACTATAGTTAGCGCCTGATGAAAAAATGAAAAAAACATCCCAACATCGTCAAGTAATCTGAGGTAATCTACTGATAGCATCTTAGGATGATCATACTCAGTCAGACAGTTGTATAACAAGAGTCCACACAGTTGTTTCGAATGTTAGCAAGTTGCCACTGTTTTATCTAAGAATTCTGATTACAAAAACCAAGATTTTTAACAGATATTAATATAATAATATACAATGTTTGATATAGCGCCCTATCTAGCTTGATACAATTAGCATATACATTAATCAATTCAAAACTTGATTGACAGTTATAAAGGGTGATAAATATGCCAGTCTTAGCCTTCCTTGAAAAGAAGCTAAAAAAACCTTTAATAAAATACGTAATCATAAGGTAAAATTAAGTACAATAATCCTTTCTGAAAATGCTGTGCTGATACATCATAATCCGTTGCAGGTATGACCCCATGCCAGTTACAAAAGATGAGAGCTGACATAAGGAAAAGCAACGCAACACGCAGAGAACGCATCAAAAGGTACCTTGACATGATCAAGCAGGAACAGGAAGAAAATGAAAGGCAGGACAGAGGGACTACACGACCTGAGGACACAGTACCCATGATAGAGGAGACAGGTAAGACAGGACAGGGAGACTACATGAACTGATGACACAGTACCCATGATAGAGGAGACAGGTAAGGCAGGACAGGTAGACTACATGAACTGATGACACAGTACCCATGATAGAGGAGACAGGTAAGGCAGGACAGGGAGACTACATGAACTGATGACACAGTACCCATGATAGAGGAGACAGGTAAGGCAGGACAGGGAGACTACATGAACTGATGACACAGTACCCATGATAGAGGAGACAGGTAAGGCAGGACAGGGAGACTACATGAACTGATGACACAGTACCCATGATAGAGGAGACAGGTAAGGCAGGACAGGGAGACTACATGAACTGATGACACAGTACCCATGATAGAGGAGACAGGTAAGGTAGGACAGGGAGACTACATGAACTGATGACACAGTACCCATGATAGAGGAGACAGGTAAGGTAGGACAGGGAGACTACATGAACTGATGACACAGTACCCATGATAGAGGAGACAGGTAAGGTAGGACAGGGAGACTACATGAACTGATGACACAGTACCCATGATAGAGGAGACAGGTAAGGTAGGACAGGGAGACTATATGACCTGATGACACAGTACCTATGATAGAGGAGACAGGTAAGGTAGGACAGGGAGACTATATGACCTGATGACACAGTACCTATGATAGAGGAGACAGGTAAGGTAGGACAGGGAGACTATATGTCCTGAGGACACAGTACCTATGATAGAGGAGACAGGTAAGGTAGGACAGGGAGACTATATGACCTGAGGACACAGTACCTATGATAGAGGAGACAGGTAAGGTAGGACAGGGAGACTACAAGAAAACAGGTTCTGGCTGTCCATTCATGTACAATTATTGCCAGAGTACATCGCAAATACTTGATCTTAAGCTTCACACATGAGTAAATCACGCTTTAGATGGCTACCTTTTGGTATTTACATCTTTCTGATTTCAAGGGATTTGTAGTTGTGGTGGAAACTGCAAAATATGTACATTTTGCTGTTTAATTTGGAGCACATCTTAAACATCTATAAATTATAAACCTCAAACTTGCCACATGAGTCAACCAAACCACAAAGAGATGATTTTTGTTGTTATGAGTTTTCCGAGTTAGTCATTTTGGAAGTTATCTTTGAATCAAGGCCATATTCCCACAAATTTGGTGTTTTCATTTCAACAGGATGAGCATTGATATTGAAAACTATGTCGTGGTATTTCATGGGGTTGAGTGTGTATATTATGTATCTTGTTATTGTTACAATAGGAAAAGGATAGGAGATGTACAGTAAGCAAGAAAATAGAGTCAAGAATACTATTATAAGAGTTGTGTTTTTCAGACAAGAAGGATGCCGTGTGTAGACAGCCCATGGAGAAGGGCCCGTGTGAGGCCTACATCTACAGGTACTACTACAACCACACTCTAGGCTCGTGTGTCCAGTTCAAGTACGGAGGCTGTGATGGTAACAAGAACAACTTTGAAGATGAAGATACTTGCAATAAGACATGCCAATTCTACAAAGGTAAAAACCAATCCATAGACGTACCTCCATTCTGCGTACCAAAACCTAAAGTGGGTGATTGCAAGGCCCTAATTCCCAAGTACTTCTACAACACCATCACAGAGAAGTGTGAGATGTTCTACTGGGGAGGGTGTGGACAGGACCACACAAACATCTTTGACACAGAGGACAGGTGTATGAAAAAATGTGGTACGTATGTGTGACCATTAGCATCCATTACTTACAATCCGTTTACACACAGTACAATTTGATTGGGTTTCCCAGTTTTTGAACATGTGAATGAAAATATCAGCAATTTGAAAAACTCACACCAAGAATCATACGAAATCAGAGCACCAGCAAATCGTATAAGGTCCCATCTGGTACAACATATACTGAAAGGGACTAATAGTTTGCACTCCATCAGTCTGTGCATCACTTTGTGTGTGTACAGGTGTTGCAGAAACATGTTACAACTGTATGTAGGTGTCACCTGTGTGTACAGGTGTGGCAGAAACATGTACAGCTGTATGTAGGCGTCACCTCTGTGTACAGGTATGACAGGAACATGTTACAACTGTATGTAGGTGTAACCTGTGTACACAGGTATGACAGAAACATGTTAGAACTGTATGCAGGTGTCACCTGTGTGTACAGGTATGACAGCAACATGTTACAACTGTATGTAGGGGTCACCTGTGTGTACAGGTGTGGCAGACACATGTTACAACTGTATGTAAGTGTCACCTGTGTGTACAGGTATTAAAGAAACATGTTAGAACTGTATGTATAAAAGTGTATTAGAAACAGTGTTAGAAGTGGAAGTATGTTCATGAATATCTTTTCATCTTTTTGCATTCAATTTGTATTTAGGTATCACCTCTGTGTACAGGGGTGGCAGAAACATGTTACAACTGTACGTAGGTGTCACCTGTGTGTACAGGAATGACAGAAACATGTTAGAACTGTATGTAGTTGTCACCTGTGTGTACAGGTGTGGCAGAAAAATGTTACAACTGTATGAAGGTGTTACCTCTGTGTACAGGTATGACAGAAACATGTTCCAACTGTATGTAGGTGTCACCTGGGTGTACAGGTATGACAGGAACATGTTACAGCTGTATGTAGGTGTTACCTGTGTGTACAGGTGTGGCAGACACATGTTACAACTGTATGTAAGTGTCACCTGTGTGTACAGGTATGACAGTAATATGTTACAACTGTATGTAGGTGTTACCTGTGTGTACAGGTATGGCAGAAACATGTTACAGCTGTCTGTAGGTGTTACCTCTGTGTACAGGTATGAGAGAAACATGTTACAGCGGTATGTAGGTGTCACCTGTGTGTACAGGTATGAAAGAAACATGTTAGAACTGTATGTAGGTGTCACCTGTTTAAACAGGTATGACAGAAACATGTTACACCTGTATGTAGGTGTCTCCTGCGTGTACAGGTATGACACAAACATGTTACAACTGTATGTAGGTATCACATGTGTGTACAGGTGTGACAGAGACATGTTACAACTGTATGTAGGTATCACATGTGTGTACAGGTGTGACAGAGACATGTTACAACTGTATGTAGGTATCACATGTGTGTACAGGTGTGACAGAGACATGTTACAACTGTATGTAGGTGTAACCTGTGTACACAGGTATGACAGAAACATGTTACAATTGTAGGTAGGTGTCAACTGTGTGTACAGGTGTGACAGAAACATGTTACAGCTGAATGTAGGTGTCACCTGTGTGTACAGGGATGACAGGAACATGTTACAGCTGTATGTAGGTGTCGCCTGTGTGTACAGGTGTGGCAGACACATGTTACAACTGTATGTAAGTGTCACCTGTGTGTACAGGTATAATAGAAACATGTTACAACTGTATATAGGTGTTACCTCTGTGTACAGGTGTGACAGGAACATGTTACAACTGTATGTAGGTGTTACCTGTGTGTACAGGTGTGGCAGAAACATGTAACAACTGTATGTAGGTATCACATCTGTGTACAGGTGTGGCAGAAACAGGTACAGGTGTATGTAGGTGTCACCTGTGTGAACAGGTATGACAGAAACATGTTACAATTGTATGTAGGTGTCATCTGTGTGTACAGGTATGACAGAAACATGTTCCAACTGTATGTAGGTGTCACCTGGGTGTACAGGTATTACAGAAACATGTTAGAACTGTATGTATAAAAGTGTATTAGAAACAGTGTTAGAAGTGGAAGTAGGTTCATCAATATCTTTTCATCTTTTTGCATTCAATTTGTATTTATTCTTTTACTTTCAGCTCCAGTTGATATTTGTCAAGTAAGTATCATAACTAAATGCCAATTCCAAAGGTTATTATATAATAAGAGCTCAGCATCATATATATGGGTACCCTATAGTAATCATGGTATACCTATGTCGTTTCTATCCCTCCATCCCCACTTTCATTTCCGGAGATTAAGATAGTCTAAAATTCTAACATTTTATATTGTTATATTTAGATGTGCAGTAGGTGTTTAAAATCTTTCTAAGGTCAAAGTCAAGGCCACTTTATTTAAAGATACAATACGGAGGTATACTGTCAAAGGGGGGGTCCAAAATGGCTCCTCCTTTGATTTCAATTTTCTTTTGGTGAGGTGAAGACCTAAACCTTATCACAACAAAAACATCCATAAAACTGAAGTTCTCCAAAAGCCGGAGTTTTTCCCAAAAAGACGAATATTTTCAAACAATGCACTGAAGGATCATTTATGATGCAAAAGAATCTGCAGATCATATACTACAGTATACATATAACAATCCCTTGCTTTGGTTAGTTATCAGATATGTACAGACAAAGCAACAGCCAGAAGCCATCTGAAGCAATGATATTTTCCAGACAAAAAATGTGTTCATCTTAGAATAAAAGTATCTTATAACTTTTGCATACCAAAAATATTTTGATTATAGAGGACTCAAGTAAAAAACAAAGAAGTTACTCCTGATCTGCTTTATAATTTTATGTGGCTGTCAATTTAGGAAGAAAGAGATTAAATCTTCAGAACTACATGACCATAACCTTTCTAATTCAGTTTGTACATAGTATCTTAAATGTTTGATGTCATTGCATCAATGTTGTACTTGTGTTTAGATCAGGAACTGTGGGCCAGAGTATGTATGCCAGCCTAAGGGTAAAGGAGATGCTGACTGTATTCGTAAGTTTTACTGATCACCCCCTAAAATGATAGCTGATACTTCTGATTAGAGAGGGAGTTCAATGTTACGGTCACCATACTTCTGAATAGAGAGGGAGTTCAATGTTAAGGCCACCATACTTCTGATTGGAGAGGGAATTCAATGTTACGGCCACCATACTTCAGATTAGAGAGGGAGTTCAATCTTACGGCCACCATACTTCTGTTTAGAGAGGGAGTTCAATGTGACGTCCACCATACTTCTGATTAGAAAGGGGGTTTCCTGTTACGGCCACCATCCTTTTGGTTGGAGGGGGAGTTCAATGTTCCGGCCACCATACTTCTGATAAGAGAGGGAGTTCAATGTTTCGGTTACCATACTTCTGATTAGAGGGGGAGTTCAATGTTACGGACACCATACTTCTGATTAGAGGGGGAGTTCAATGTTACGGACACCATAGTTCTGATTAGAGAGGGAGTTCAATGTTACAGCCACCATACTTCTGATTAGAGAGGGAATTCAATGTTACGGTCACCATACTTCTGATTAGAGAGGGAGTTCAATGTTACGGCCACCATGTTATGTTCTACACATTTCTGTACTGGTAATTGGATGTCTTCGTTTAGTATGTTAGACCCTGAAGATGTAGTGTTTAAATACACTGCTGATGATCAACTCATTGTTGCATCAGAGGGTGTTTTCTGATTTGTCAGAACTGTTTTACATCTTTGTTCAGCCAAAGATCAGGTGTCATCTGGATTCCAGCCGTATGTACCCCGCTGTGAAAAGGATGGTTCTTACTCTCCCCAGCAATGTAGTGGCGACACCTGCTGGTGTGTGAACAATATGGGTCGCCCCGACAACAACACAATCTCTGTGGGAGATGCCAACTGTACAGGTAACTAATCCAATAGTCTAAAGTACACTATAGGGGCTCTGTACGGTAATCAGTGTATGTAATAAAGACGTTTAATTTTGACCTATCGTTTGGCGCCACAATGGCCAAGTGGTTAGGGTTGTCTGACTGCAGGCATACAGTCATTAGCCTTCCACCACGGAGTTGTTGGTCGAGGACTTCTTGGGGCAGTTGCAAGGTACTGGCCACAAGTAGGTGTTTTTTATCCGGTTACTTCGGTTTTCCTCCACCACCAAACCCAGCTGGCTCATCCTATGACCATAGCTGTTAATAGGACGTAAATCATAAACAAACCAAACAAATAATCCATTGTTTGCTTTTAACAACACTACAGTTGATCATGATTTCTGTTAACGTATTCAACATTGTTTGTTTTCATGTTGACAGGTTCTAGCACTGGAGGGCAGAGACCTAGTAAGTAATTCTCTCCATTATCTGTAATGACAAGTACCTGGTAGCGTTATTATTAAGTATAAGCCTTTAGTTCATTTCTACCTTCTATAAGAGCTGCAGATAAACCAGAAACGTGTGAATCGACAAGATTTCTTTGCATGAAAAGTGAAAACACATTTACTCTTTCTGAATGTATTGACCTGGTATTTACAAAAATCGTTCAAACCCTTCCATCTACGTTTTACAAATAAACCTGATGTTTTCTATTTATTTGTTAACTAGCTATAGTGTGTCCAGACCAAACTCGACCAATGATTTGTGCAAACAAGTGTCATAATAAGACATGTGGTAACCGCACTGATGTCCAGTGTCTGACCAATCCCTGTAAGGGTTGTCAGGTCAAGTTTGTGGATCAGGCCAACAATGAAGTGAATTGTAATGGTATGTACTTCATTCTCCTAGCTCATCCATTCATTACCCAAATTACTTACCTAATCCCTACAGACACACTTAATCCAACTCCTACCCACACACCTCATCCAATCCTTACCCACACACCTCATCCATCCTTTACCCACATACCTCATCCAATCCTTACCCAAATAACTAACCCAATCCCTACCCACATACCTCACCCAATTCCTACCCATATAACTCACCTATTCCTTACCCACATAGCTCACCCAATTCCTACCCATATAACTCACCCATTCCTTATATCCACATAGCTCACCCAATTCCTACCCATATAACTCATCTAGTCCTTACCTACATAGTTCACCCAATTCCTACCCATATTACTCACCCATTCCTTATACCCACATAGCTCACCCAATTCCTACCCATATAACTCACCTATTCCTTACCTACATAGCTCACCCAGTTCCTACCCATATAACTCACCCATTCCTTACCTACATAGCTCACCCAATTCCTGCCCATATAACTCACCTATTCCTTACCTACATAGCTCACCCAATTCCTACCAATATAACTCACCCATTCCTTACCTACATAGCTTACCCAATTCCTACCCATATAACTCACCCATTCCTTATACCCACATAGCTCACCCAATTCCTACCCATATTACTCAAGCCATCCTTCACCATAGATAGTGCTTTCCATTTCTCAATGTTTTTGCGAAGGCTATTATCACTACTTTTATTCCTTTCATTTTTTAAATTCAATGACGCTCCGTAACATATATTACTGTAATTTTGTGTATGTTTTCAGTTAATCCTTGTGACATGAAGGAGCCAAAGATGATGACCAGGCCAGCTGGTGGCTGCCTCAATGCAGCACGCAGATGGTTCTTCAAGAAGAGTACACAGAAGTGTGAGGTCTTCAAGTACTCTAAGAACTGCTATGGGAGAGACACCTACTTCAAGTCCCTTCTGGACTGCCAGAACAAATGTCAAGGTATCCTATTCAACATATGAACTGCCAAATTTGTTCTTGTTAATATTGTACCACAAAATACCAGTATTATTTTTACCAAACCAAACCAAAATATGAAGTATTTAAGTATATATAAATTCTGTTTTGTTCACTACAGGGTCCCCATGTGGTGAGACTGGTGTGGTGAAGACCTGTGCAAATAAGTGTGCCAGCATGACCTGTAAATATCACCCGCATGCCTCATGTAAAGTCAACCCATGTAACTGTGAGGCACACTTCTTTGACCCTGTCAGCCTGGAGGTCGTCAACTGCTCAAAGTGTGAGTACGGCTTGTTGTATTGTGTATGAGGGTGATTACAGTATCACTCGGCTCAAGTAACATGACCAGAGAAAAAAGGTCTTTCCAGCTTCACGATGAAGTGGAACAGCAATATCATGCCTACTCTTGCTCCTTCGCGAACTCCACATTCATAATGTTTCATTAGTATCAACAAATAATTGGACTGCAGTGACATGCTTTCAGCGGTATTGATGGGATTATTTTCATCTTTTTTTAATGTTGTTTTCTTTTTTTGAACGACAGAAAGACATATAAATATAAACATTAAACTGCTCTCTGATGCATTTCATAGGCAATATGAATGCTCTCTGCATTACAGGAAAATGACATGAACTGCTTAAGCGTTACATTTGAAATGTTATGACCAGCCTGCATCCCTTGTTTTATAGTTCACTGTATAACATTTGACCTATCAAACCTTTGACATAACTTGAGATCATACTTTGGTTTACTTTATTAACCTATGACTTTCAGTGATCACTCAGTGTCAGAAGAATCGCACCAAGGCATTCGCCATGTACAATGAGATGGTTGCTGCTGGTACAGCCGACGCAAATGTCACCTTACCTCAATGTAAAGAGGATGGACGCTTCTCCAGCCAACAGTGTAACGAGACTAGCTCGGTGTGCTGGTGTGTCAATGGGGCAGGCCAAGAGGTCAAAGGAACCAGGGTTAGGGTCAGCTCCTCTAGCCTAGACGTTGGTTGTAGTGAGTATTCCTGGAGCTTACTGCTACTTATTCCCTCTTTGCGTATTGCAGAGTTATCTTCTCTTGTGAGCAGGTATTGATTGTTTCGTCATTGGTTTGTGAGAGTTATTTCATCAATTTTTGATAAAACAACGTAATTTTATCACACAACCCAATGGCGTAACAATCAATACCTGCCCACAAGAGAAGATAACTCTGCAATACGCAAAGACGGAATTGCTGTACTATACAAAGTACATACAATACCATTACTGTATTTATACTTCACTTACAGCGTATGTTGCAATGCTATTATGTAACACTTCTATATTCGTTACAAAAACAAGATTGATGTGCGACCTATGTGTCTGTCAAATGTGTATGAATTTTATCAAGATTCACTGTATATTTATATTTCATTGGGAACAAAATGCCTGCACAACACATCTTACATCATTGCCATTTCTGTTTTACAGAGGACAACAATGTAACTAAGGCGATGGTTCAGCTCAGATTTAACTCCGACTACCAACGGGTCAGAGGCAAGGAAGCTGCTTTTATCATGTAAGTAATTCACCCTCTATGTGGACAATTACCTTCTTATGATATACAATGTTCATGGTCAGTCCAGGAACTTATCATAGCAGCTGTTCATGGTCAGTCAAGGAACTTAGCATAGCAGCTGTTCATGGTCAGGCCAGGAACTTATCATAACAGGTGTTCATGGTCAGTCCAGGAACTTATCATATCAGCTGTTCATGGTCAGTCCAGGAACTTATAACAACAGCTGTTCATGGTCAGTCCAGGAACTTAGCATAGCAGCTGTTCATGGTCGGTCCAGGAACTTATCATAGCAGCTGTTCACGGTCAGTCCAGGAACTTATCATAGCAGCTGTGCATGGTGAGTCCAGGAACTTAGCATAGCAGCTGTTCATGTTCAGTCCAGGAACTTATCATAGCAGCTGTGCATGGTGAGTCCAGGAACTTAGCATAGCAGCTGTTCATGGCCAGTCCAGGAACTTAGCATAGCAGCTGTTCATGTTCAGTCCAGGAACTTATCATAGCAGCTGTGCATGGTGAGTCCAGGAACTTAGCATAGCAGCTGTTCATGGTCAGTCCAGGAACTTAGCATAGCAGCTGTTCATGGCCAGTCCAGGAACTTATCATAGCAGCAGTTCATGGTCAGTCCAGGAACTTATCATACCAGCTGTTCATGGTCAGTCCAGGAACTTAGCATAGTAGCTGTTCATGGTCAGTCCAGGAACTTATCATACCAGCTGTTCATGGTCAGTCCAGGAACTTAGCATAGCAGCTGTTCATGTTCAGTCCAGGAACTTATCATAGCAGCTGTTAATGGTCAGTCCAGGAACTTATCATAACAGCTGTTAATGGTCAGTCCAGGAACTTATCATAGCAGCTGTGCATGGTGAGTCCAGGAACTTAGCATAGCAGCTGTTCATGGCCAGTCCAGGAACTTAGCATAGCAGCTGTTCATGGCCAGTCCAGGAACTTAGCATAGCAGCTGTTCATGGCCAGTCCAGGAACTTATCATAGCAGCAGTTCATGGTCAGTCCAGGAACTTATCATAACAGCTGTTAATGGTCAGTCCAGGAACTTATCATAGCAGCTGTGCATGGTGAGTCCAGGAACTTAGCATAGCAGCTGTTCATGGCCAGTCCAGGAACTTAGCATAGCAGCTGTTCATGGTCAGGCCAGGAACTTATCATAACAGGTGTTCATGGTCAGTCCAGGAACTTATCATATCAGCTGTTCATGGTCAGTCCAGGAACTTATCAAAACAGCTGTTCATGGTCAGTCCAGGAACTTAGCATAGTAGCTGTTCATGGTCAGTCCAGGAACTTATAACAACAGCTGTTCATGGTCAGTCCAGGAACTTATCAAAACAGCTGTTCATGGTCAGTCCAGGAACTTAGCATAGCAGCTGTTCATGGTCAGTCCAGGAACTTAGCATAGCAGCTGTTCATGTTCAGTCCAGGAACTTATCATAGCAGCTGTTCCTGGTCAGTCAAGGAACTTATCATAGCAGCTGTTCATGGTCAGTCAAGGAACTTATCATAGCAGCTGTTCATGGTCGGTCCAGGAACTTATCATAGCAGCTGTTCACGGTCAGTCCAGGAACTTATCATAGCAGCTGTTCATGGTCAGTCAAGGAACTTATCATAGCAGCTTTTTGTCAGAGATGCATCCATGAATTAATCATCAGTAGATTCACAGCTTTTGTCAGCGGAGAGTACACAAACTTATATTTCCCATAGTAAGCTTTGGTCAGCGGAGAGTAGACAAACTTATATTACCCATAGTTAGCTTATGTCAGCAGAGAGTACACAAACTTATATTTCCCATAGTAAGCTTTGGTCAGCGGAGAGTAGACAAACTTATATTACCGTTAGTAAGCTTATGTCAGCGGGAGTACACAAACTTATATTACCCATAATAAGCTTATGTCAGCGGAGAGTACACAAACTTATATTACCCATAGTAAGCTTATGTCAGCAGAGAGTACACAAACTTATATTACCCATAGTAAGCTTATGTCAGCGGAGAGTACACAAACTTATATAACCCATAGTAAGCTTATGTCAGCAAAGAGTACACAAACTTATATTACCCATAGTAAGCTTATGTCAGCAGAGAGTACACACTTATATTACTGTTAGGAAGCTTATGTATTGCCAGTGGTGGTCCTAAAGTCTGTCAGTGATGGAACCATGGAATCTCCTGTCAAGTTTCCGGAGGCTAGTAGGAATAATTATCATGATAATTACAGGGATTTGGAGTAAAAGAGGGTCATGAATTTTTAGAATGTGACAAAAGAGTGACAAAACAAAATAGAATTGATGCTAAGTTCTTAACATTATTGATAAAATGCGTATTTATCTAAATCCTACACAGAATTCTGATTTAGGGTAAGTGGGTAAGGTTAAAATTTTATATATGAATGTAACATGGTCTTGAATACCTCCTTTTAACTGGTGTAAATATCTGTACAATGTATTAATAAAATATGTATTTATCTAAACCCTTTTCAGAATCTTGATTTAGGATAAGTAGGTAGGTTAAATAGTAATTTTCATTTACAATTATAACTTTTTTACTGGTTTTAAACACCTTCCTTAAACTGTCAAGTGTAAATATTTTCAATGTTTTAGAAAGCAATGCTTCTGAATTTTAAACATTTTTTTCACCCTTAAACTGTCAAGTGTAAATATTTCCAATGTTTTAGAAAGTAATGCTTCTGAGTTTTAAACAGGCAGGTGACTTCATGATCATCATCACAAGATTTAGCAATGGAATTACTTTCAAAACATGTAAATTTTTCGACAATGATTGGCCAATCGTCTATCAATAGGTTTGGCCATGGATCGACAGCGTTGGTCCAATGCACTGACACTTAGGTGCCCATGGACTGTCAACACTGGGCTCATGATATTAAGATTCACATCAATGTTCAAATTTCCTGCTTTGAAGTGAAAGTTTTAAATTTCAGTGGAGGGTGATGTTAATTTCAATATTAAGTAACGGTTCATTTTTTATACAAACTGTTGTTTTCAGAGTCGTTAAGGTAGCACTAGGACCAGTCTTAGCCAATGAAGTGGAGAAAATTCAGGTAAGTTAGTCATTTTATCGCTAGGAAATGTCTTTAAAAATGTTGAACATTTTGAAGTTTGTCTGCGGATATATGGAAATGATCCTATTCCGTTTTTCCCCTTCTAACTAACTGTTGACCTCCCTAGAATAATCCATGGTCTATCCTTATAAAGATGAGCCGGTTCTTATTGAAACCTTGCAATCATGAAACATCATTTTTGATTTATGAACAAGTATAATTATGAAAAGAATTTCTGTGAATTTTGCCAGGTGAGTGAGGGTAGCATTGTGGTGGACATGACTGTGAATGGAGAAGCTGATCCTACTGTTGTAGCAGCACAAATCGAGGAAAATGTGAGTTTCTACCTTCCTTTTTTGTTAAAATTCACCTTATCGTGGGTGTCATTTGTGTGATGCTAAATGTAAGTTCAGATCTTTTTTAATTTTCTTGGATGTATGGTGTTTGAAATAAAAGTGTGGATGATATGAGATGCCTTGAGAGTTTTAGTAAGTTTTGTTTTCGTGTGGTGTAGGTGGTGAATGGGGACCTGCAGGTGGTGTTTGAGGGGCAGACACTGACGGCTGACCCATCCAGTGTGCAGACAGAACTGGTGTTCCAGGCTCAGACCGGGTACATCCCAGTCGAACATGAGGAAGATCTTGACAAAGCAACTGTCGTTGCTCTTATCGTCATCGTCGTTGTGCTTTCTGCCATATTGATCATCATCGCTTTAGTCGTAAGTACTATACTATTCTATGCCTAACTAGGCCAGTCACAGGTAGAGACAATGGAGGACTAACTAGGTCAGTCACAGGTAGAGACAATGGAGGACTAACTAGGTCAGTCACAGGTAGAGACAATGGAGGACTAACTAGGCCAGTCACAGGTAGAGACAATGGAGGACTTACTAGGTCAGTCACAGGTAGAGACAATGGAGGACTAACTAGGTCAGACACAGATAGAGAAAATGAAGGATTAACTATGTCAGTCACAGGTAGAGACAATGGAGGACTAACTAGGTCAGTCACAGATAGAGAAAATGGAGGACTAACTAGGTCAGTCTTCTTAGTCAGGGTTTCCGAGGAACATATTTTCTGATCTGTTGGTCACCAGGTGCACTTACATGAGATTATAAGATGCTTTCATATGTACCGGGATTTGTATTAAAACCTTTCTCATGAAACAATTTGGAGAACCTGGCTTAATATTCAGATCAAAGTATGAAGTATGTAGGAATGATGTGATTAAAGATTTATGTGAATGATTCGCCACCTTTCAAATTAATGTTATGTTTTCACATTAAAAATTGCTACATGTCTCTGTCTTATCTATAACCTAAACACAGAATTTTATATCATCTGCAATAATACTCTTTTCATAATATAAACAAATCTGATTAAACTGCTCTCACAGAAAATGTCTTTATTATCAATTTTCAAAGAAAGAAACTGCAATTGTTTCTTCTATTTCTTAATTATTTCAATATAACTTAAACCTTATAGAAAACATGTGTTTGTTAACAAAGAATTAAATACTGACTGATCGCACACCGCAACGTTGTCATAGGTAACCACTGTTGTTATTGAGTTCGGTCTGTGAACATTTTACAACTTTCCTAAAGGCATCGACAAAAATGTCCACGCTTAAAAAAAGTGACCATCTGTTCTCAACAACTTCCAGATTAGTAAGCTGAAGTAACAGTTGAGGAAATCCGTTCCAATTCAGAAGTGTCCGTCTTTGGAGTTTTCTAGATTAACAGAATGATTAGTGAAACGAAGATTAATGAGATTCGACTGTCTAAATTTTCTTGAATATAACTGATATTTATTTCAACTAATTTCATTTTCTGATTGAATCGAATGCATTGGATGTTACATTTGAATTTAAAATATTGAAACTATTAAACTCTTCTTTTTTTTCAGTTTCTTTGGAAGAGGAAATCCCAAGAAAAGAATGAATTTTCTAGTTTAGAGGTAAATTACACACAACTCCAGTTAACACCTAATGTATCCACTGACTGTTAGGTTAGGACAGCCAGGTCCATCATATAAACACCAGCCCTTTCTATACGCTCGTCATCGGACAGGTTGTATATTAGTATGGACTGCGTTGTTCGTTCGTCCGTCCGTTAACTTTTTTTCCTTGTCATCGCTCTCCTGCCTTCATTCATTATTATTCTGACTTTATTCACATGTTACATATTGTTTATTAAATTTTAAATTTGTTTTTTTCAAAAGAATTATTATCATTAAATCACTGATGTGGATAATCCTAGACCTCTGATCATCACTCCTGTTGATCCTCTTACCTAGACCTCTGATCATCACTCATCTGTTGATCCTCTTACCGAGACCTCTGATCATCATTCACCTGTTGTTTCTCTTACCTTGACCTCTGATTATCACTCATCTGTTGATCCACTTACCTAGACCTCTGATCATCACTCATCTGTTGAACCTCTTACCTAGACCTCTGATCATCACTCATCTGTTGTTTCTCTTACCTAGACCTCTGATCATCACTCATCTGTTGAGTCTCTTACCTTGTCCACCTTTTATTATTAATCGTTATGTAAAGTGTATTCTCTTACCAAACTCAATAGTGCTAAGGGCTAGTTTAGGATTATTTGATTCAATTATAACTTCTAATAATAAGTCAAGGATGTGATCAACCCTTTCCTCATTGTTTTTCTGAAAGAAAAATGTCAAGATTACCACAGACAATGTTGACATGAGTGTGTTTGACTAATGTCCCATCACCTGTATTGACTTGTATTTATTATCTCCCCTTATAACCACATGCATCCTCCTGCTAACACAACTTTTACTGTTTGTTGCCGCCAAGTTAATAAAAATTTGCAAAGCAACTTGTCTAAATTTGTAATGGGCTGAAAAAGTACTGAAATTCCATTGTTTTTCTTTAAAAGCACTTTTTCAAATGGAAATATCAGGAAAATATCAATTCAGGTTCAATACAAATCTTGCTCACTGGCAAATACTAAGTAAAAGTAATCAAATATAAAAACAAGGTTTCACAACATGTGTTTAAGAATCTAGGAAAATGATAAGGTGACAATGTTTCAGATTAGAAAAAAATGAAATGTGAATATAATTTAGAGAAAAGTATTTAACTGTTTTTCAAGATAGAATCAAATGAGCGACTGGGTAAAGGAGCATGCCCGTGTTGTCCGTGTTGTGTGGGAACCGAGTATTTCAGTTATTCAAGATAGAGATAGAAATTTTAGATGTTAATGTGAAATGTGCATTTATATATTTGCATCAAATGACTGTACAGACCCTGCTAATCCAGAATTTACAAATTGTACTAATCTTGTTATTTGTTATATTTATTCTCTACTTTATCCCTTATAACACACACACAAAACATCCATCTCCTTGCACACAAAAGTCCTATACTAAAAAGGTAATAACAAGTAGGTAAGAGATGGAGCATCAACACCAGGGATTCCGTGATTTTATTTGTTGACATGTTTCGGTAGGCGAGGCCTACCGTCATCAGAACAATTTAGTTTACCTATTCCTTTGACCTTTAACCTTGGTATAACATGTTGTGCATGAGTCCTTGTTCTACTAATGTGTTCTATTAACTTTGTTCTGTCTGTTTACAGAAGTCTCAGGTACAGGGCCACAGCAATGCTGCATACGATCAGGTATACGAAAAACAGTGAGTGTCCAGGACCGTGTACACAGGTTACCCATAACCGTGCCTCTATCACCCAGACAACAGTATCAAATCAGAGACACTGCAAATTTGTGATCACATATTTTGTATAGACATATAGTATACTTAAACTTAAGATATCTGGTTAATTTGCTGTAAGGTCTTGAGTAGTTCAGACAAAGGGTAAGGAAATCATTGCTATTGTTATATTTTCACTGGTGTACCATACAGATATACCTCCAACTGAACGGTCAGGGAGATAGTTCTCTAGTGTACTAGGTATACCTCTGGCAGAAGGGTCAGGGAGATAGTTCTCTAGTGTACTAGGTTTACCTCTGGCAGAAGGGTCAGGGACATAGTTCTCTAGTGTACTAGGTTTACCTCTGACAGAAGGGTCAGGGAGATAGTTCTCTAGTGTACTAGGTTTACCTCTGACTAAAGGGTCAGGGACATAGTTCTCTAGTGTACTAGTACCTTGGCAAGATTAATGAATACATATACAGCTTTGGATAACTGTCCTTCTCTCTTGACCAGCTTGGGAGGAGAAAGTGGACCTATAAAGTTGTTCTACTATTGATACTGTATCTGGCATTGGATTGAAGATTAATGCATAGAGGGGACATGTAGAATCTATCTCTTCTGTGTGATGTTGACAGAGAAATATCAACACAAATGTAAGATTTTTGAAGTTGAAACTTCACTAACCTTTTTTCTAAGAGTTGATTTTCTCTGCATCACACAGGAGTGATTTATTATTTTTCCACACACCTTCCTCCGTAAAAATATGATGTCAAAGTAAACCCAATTGAACCTGCCATCACAAAGAGCACACGGAGCGTGCGACAAAAATGATGACGGTGACAGGTAAAGACATGTATATCTTTTCCCTAACAAAACGGGGAATGTACCTGTTAAATGTGGGGGGGGGGGAAGACGTGCACAAATAGCCTCCTTTGTCTGAAGTCTACTCAATGACATAGCTGTCCACAAATACATGTATCACTCTCACATCACCGATTCCCCTATACTCAGCACACTATTTGCTTTGGAGATTAATATTTTTATATCATTTAAACAAGAATTTATGGCAATATGAAACATATTTTGACAACTTTATGAGTATCTATTTGTCTTATTAACAGGATTTATATTTGTATATAGCTTTGGGCATTCATTTCTCAAGAATTTGTTGCCTAAATAACTTGATCTTCTAAGGGTTTGCTGGCCAAATAGATGCTGTTTTACTTATGTAGGTTTGTTGTTCAAAACATGTTACATGGACCTTTATATCAAGGATAATGTTATATACCAGGTATCTCTATAACACTCAACCACCTACAAAACTGATAAAGGAATCTTGCCAGGTTTTGTACTAATTTTCAAAAATCTATTATGTGTTTTATACCATATTTATATCACATTTGTATAGTAAAGCATACTTCTTGGTAACGCACTTGTCAATTCCACTTTCAGGTGATGCTAAACAAAATTAGACTTTGTTGTTAAGTTTTGACGTGTGGTAGAGGTATTTGATTTGAGTGAGACTCCGTCACTGTAGTGTACCTGTTCCATTATAGGCGATGGTACACTAAGTGTAGGAGATCTGTGAGTATGTGTATCCTCTACCCAATTCTCTACATAATATATCTCTTTATATAGACGTCTTCATTACACCTAGGGATCACTACTACAACACTTTTAAGATATCATATCCATTCATCAGTTTTGTTCTGTGATATAACAGGAGATATATAGTTATTGGTACTGTCATCAGTTTTGTTCTCTGATATAACAGGAGATATATAGTTATCGGTACTGTCATCAGTTTTGTTCTCTGATATAACAGGAGATCTATAGTTCACGGTACTGTCATCAGTTTAGTTCTCTGATATAACAGGAGAGCTATAGTTAACGGTACTGTCATCAGTTTTGTTCTCTGATATAACAGGAGATATATAGTTATTGGTACTATAGTGGGTTTTGTTTATGTATTTTATACATTTTATATTGAACTTTTAAAAGAGTTGACTGTACAGGTATTTCTTTATGTGTAAGTTTACCAAAATCAAAACTTATTGTTGCTGTTATGTTTAACTACCAAAGGTAACATTACAACCAGTAGGATTTTTTTAGTATCTGAGGTATCATACCAATCTTACCATCAGAGTATTTTTTCTGCCTATATGTATATTTCAATATCAAAAGAAAACTATTTTGTTACTACAAGTTTGAAAGCAAATACTTTGAACGAACTATTTTACATCAGAACAAATTGTGCGACAAATGAGTTCATTATGAAATGTTACATGTATACTGTAATTAACATTATGGGCAAGGGAGATAACCGAGTTATTTTTCTGTCAAACTTAATTGTGTATTTAACCTATAATCCTAATAGAGCTATATTATTACACTCATTCCGCGTTGTGAGGATTGTATACTACATATCGTCAATGTAATCACCCTTTGATATCTATTGTTATCTGCTATGTAAGCATTACATTACCTTATAAGTGAAGGTGTTTCTGTTTGGATGAATATGGATGAATGATGTAAACACTTGGATTCTATATTCAGTGTGTTTCAATAATGTTTGTGGTCTTTTTACACTGTTACATTCCTTCTTGTACCACATATCATGGAAACTTACGATTTAATTTGTAATTGTACTTTTATTGTATACTTTTTTGGGGTGGGGGGATACATCATGTTAGTTAAATATTTTCACAAAAGAAATAGTTCTAGAGAAGATATAAACAGTGTCTGTTGTAGATATTGGTGTCAGAGTTATGAGATATGGCCTTTGTTGGTTACAGTATTTCTGTGCAATATTAATAAATATAAACTTTATTTATTTTACAACAATTATGAAACAAGTTATTTCAACTTATATTAATCACTCTTGTTGGCCCAGATGTTAGCTGGTGGGGGGTCTTAGTGTGGGAGGAAACCGGAGTACCCGGAGAAAACCCACGTGGTCGGGCAGCCGACCCCAACCTTTTCACGTCCAATCAGGGAATCGAACCCCGGCCGCCTTGGTGAAAGGCAAGTGTGCTATCCACTGCACCACCCGACCACCCTAATATTAATACTTACCTATGCAGGCATGGGTCCCCAAATCTTCCTTCCTAAAATTCACCCATAATTAATCGGAGGTGATGAAAAGCTAACTATGCACCCGACTAACATGAAATCCTGGATGCACCTGTAATATGTTCCCCGTTACCTGTAGATTTGTCTACGTTGTTACCTGTATGTAGCTAGTGTCTAGTTTTACAATGATAAACAAATCTGCCTTGTTACACAAAATTTATTTTGTTTGTCTTCAAACTTTATATATTATACTGCTTTAGATATTTTCTTTTCAACTTCCTAAAATGTGTATCCTTAAAATATGTGTCATCTCTAATTTTCTTTAAAAGAAATTAAATAAATATTTTGAGCATGCAAACATTAATTATTATTGATATTCAAATTTTAGGAATTGTATATTGTGTATTTTCAAAGAAAAAAACGTAAAATGTCCAGATATAATGGAACCTCATGGTGAGAGTAAGAATCCTGAGATGGTAACTTAACCCTTTATAGTGTACTGCTGATAAGCCAAGGGTCTGATAGAAGTCAACTAATTTTGTGATCATTTTGCAACAGCTGCTATGTAGATCATATTTAGATGGACTTTTAACTCATTCACCCCCTGAAAACACATTTGAACTCTTCCAATTCAAAGGTTGGTATAATTCATTATGAAATTTCAGGGGTGAATGAGTTAATTGTGGGTTAGGTAGCCCCATGCTATATGGGCTCAGAGAACTCCTGAGAGCAGGAACTGGAGAGTAAGGTTCCAATACTAACATTTGTAAACTGTAATGTATCCTAATGGTTAACAAAACCAGGGGATTTTTGTGTGAACAAAATGTGGAGATAGATGAAGTTCTATAGATTTAAAAGGACTTTTGTATTATTTTGAATTTATTTGGTGAAGTATCTGTAATGTGTAGCCATGTTTACCTGTATAATTCTACATTCCATACCCTTTACTGGATCATAGACATTGCGTTGATGTAGAGACATGTTTACCGGTATAATTCTACATTCCATACCCTTTACTGGATCATAGGCATTGCATTGATGTAGAGACATGTTTACCGGTCTAATTCTACATTCCATACCCTTTACTGGATCATAGACATTGCATTGATGTGTAGCCATGTTTACCGGTATAATTCTACATTACATACCCTTTACTGGATCATAGACATTGCATTGATGTCGAGACATGGGGTCCACTTATAACTGCATACTTTCTATTTATTGTAACTTTATAGTCAGGTATTTGATAATCATTTACAAAGAATCTCAGAATTCCAATTTTCCATAGCGAGCTTCGGAGTGCAGGATAACACTGGAGCTTGACAGATTACTTGCTAAAATATAATTACGTAGCTATTAACAATCATCCTTTTCTGTGTCTTGTTCTTTTGGTTATATTTTGAAATAAAGATATTTCACTTAAAGTGCTTCTAGCTGGTTCTTTTTAGCTCACCAGGGCCATGGCGGTGAGCTATAGCATTATTCATCGTAAACTTTTTCCTTTACAATCCTACTACTCCTGTATGGCAGATCAGATTTCAACCAAACTTGGTCTTAAGCATCACTCAATGCCCACCTTATATGAATTACAAAAAAAAAAAAAAATCTAGAAAAAATACAAAATACCAGGTATTCCTGAAATTGCATTCCCACATATGGTAATCTAGCAACATCAGGGAAGTGATATCAAAACCACCATTAGTAGTATAACCTTGACCTGGAAATGGAATATTTCCCTGGGAGATCATAGTAACAACAATAAAACATCTAATGATAGCAATTGTAAAATGACCAAAGTTATTCATTATTACTGTAATCATAGACGTCGTACAGCAGACAGATCTGGCCAAAAAGATCGCCTGAATGCCACCCCATTGGGGAGCACAATTGCCCCGGTTTGAGGACAAAATGTCTTACTCACAATATGACCAAATATATAAGGTGATGTAACACATAGTTCTATCTTGTTTCTGATCAATCATCTGATATATGGATCATTGCAAAGCTGACATATAACAATATCAGGTCCGGCCGGATCCATGCTTGGCAATGTTAGATATCCCAGTCAAGACCAAGTGCCAGCTGAAAAGGACAGTGGCTGGATTCAAAACAGCAGAAACACTAAAAACCCCAAACTAACTGTTTGTGAAGCGAGTATGAAATAAGACACTGTCTACATCTGAATACCTATGAAAGAATTGTCAACGAAACGCTTGTTCGAACGCAAAACTGATAAAACTAGTGTAAAATATGAACAAAACGATGATTTAATAAGACCAAGTGTACCAAGTAGTGTCTTCTGCTTCTTCATTGACAGCTTTAACACCACCAAGTAAAGCTATGTCCAATCTGTATTATGCCACGTCCAGGCAAGTGACCAGGAAACAGTATAGCACACTTACGAGTACACAAGGAAACGCAGCATTTCTAAATAAGATCATGATGCCCATAATTTTCATTAACCTGCAACTCTGGAAATCTCGAGGTGCCAGCTGTCAGCAGTCAATATCTATCACGTAAATAAGGATATTCGGAGAAACAACTGTGACACTGTGTGTTGGTAAGTATGGATGTTACTGTCAACAACAGGAAAATCCACTATTAGAAAATCGGAATCATAACGCTTATCGTATATCTTAGTGCGCAAGACATCATCGATATTTTTGAAAGCGAAAGTAAAAGACTTGGCTTTTTTGGTTAACAGTCCTTAGAAGCTCTTTAAAAAAATCAGCCTTGTATGGAAATAAAAAGAAGACAGAGTTTGTTCCAATGTCGATTATGTAATATCCAACAGTCTGTTTGAAAATATTGTTATACAAAACCTAAACCGTGAACTAAAAGGTCAAATGATTCGGTAGAAGAAACAGCCTTAAGGAGAACATTCTCAAGCTTCTGGACTCTTCAAAATTCATAGTCCTTTAATTTTAGAAATAATACCAGACACCATAAGACGCAAACATGCGATTCAAAACGTTCATATACTGCAAAAGTGGGAAATGAACTTTGCATTGCGAACATTTTGGTATCTTTTCTCAAAAGAGTAACATGTTTAGGATAATAAACCTAAAGGGTTCTGTTTACTATTCACCAGTTTTGAAAACACAAGTGTCCATTCCCAACAGGTCATTGTCAGTAACAGATACTTGCTCCAGTAGTTCTTAAAAAATAAAGTTTTTCTTCTTCAAATTTACCATATTCGCTAATCCGAGATAGACTGTGTCATAAAAGCAGACATTTCTGCAACAAATGCTAACACGTTTTTGTGATCGTATATGAAAATAGGCATTTGGTATCGAACGGAAATCATTCAAAACCAATGTGTTCAAAGTTAATATTTATTTCATTCTTTGAACTTCAAACTTTTTATCTCTTTTCATATGTGTTTAGTTTTAGAAAAGTGTTTTTTCATCTTCTAATGCATATCTACAGTACAAAACATTCGTTCTTCAGCAACACAACAAAGATACTACCTCGCTTGTATCTCTTTAAAGTTGACTATCATATTGTAACGTATATGTTACCTAGCCACCTAGAGATACAAATAAATTTTTACAGCATCTTCAATCGAAATTGTAAATGTAATCCTTACTTCTTTTGATTAACTGCTATAAATTTGATCTATGTTGCATTAAAACAAGGACATAATTCGTTCTTGTAACGTATCTGTTCACACAATTTGAACAAGTAACTTTATAACAAACTTTTATATTGAAAACAACTTCACAAAAGATTCCAGACGTAATTAAACACCAAGGCGGCTTTGACTAGTAATGCAAAAAGTTTGTGCACTAGCGCACATGTCACTTTTCCCCATCGTTACTCCCA